TACCCTGCAGGAATAATCACTGCCTCAGGAGAGGGAAACTGTCCTTTGCTAACACCGCTAGGGATATTGTTGGGCAGTGAAAAGTCTCGTCATGTCCTCAGTCTCGGAGGCAGAGGATCTTGGAAGGGAGCCTTCCATCTCCATTGCTGAAGTCACTGATGTTGTTGGCAGCCTCCTCGGTGGCAAGGCCATGATGGATGAGATCTGTCCTATCTATCTGACATGTCTCTGCAAATCTCGTGACAATCAGGGGGAGCGTCAATGAAGTGGCACACTAGGGTGGTGGTCCCTCACTTCAAGAAGGGGGACTGGAGGCTGTGTTTCAATTATCGTGGGATCCCACTCCTCAGCCTCCCGGTGAGGTCTACTCCAATGTACTGTGCAGGAGACTCCAGTAGATAGTCAAATCTTGATTCAGAAGGAACAGTGTGATTTTCATCCTGGCCACGGAACAGCAGCCGGAGGGGGTCCTGTTTGAGTTAATGGGACCATAGGATATCATCTCTGCTGTTTGCAGACAATGCTGTCCTGTTGGATCGATCCACTGCTTCTACTTTGACTAATTTGAATCTGACTTTGCTCATGTCACAAGCTGTCTTCTGAGGTTTTTTATTCATTACAGTTTTTATGTTCATAAAAATTGAAATTGATGTTTGACATTTGTAATATTTCCACTTAAGCTACCCAATTCTGTAATATCTGAATGTACATTTTAAGTTGTATTAATCTACCTGCTGTATGTATGGACCATATCTAATAATTATAGATAAATTATGTATATATATATTCTAAATGTAGTGTTATCGTAGTGAGTCGGGTCTGAGGGAGCAAACCTGTCTTGTATCTGTATGAGATGCTGCATATCAAGGGGCTTTCTCACTTGATATGCACTGTAACTGAATTGATTTATGTAAAAAGTAACAAATACATACTTGACTTTGTCTATTTCCTTTTCAAGCCAAAACAAGGGACATTTAGTACAAGGGAAATTATGTGATTTTAGTGATTAATTTCAAGTTAACTCTGCCATTATTGCGATTACAAATGAGTTATATAGTATATTATGTATATAGTATGATTGTTATTGCATCATCAGATCAGTCAACTCATATTTTTTGGCTTGAAATTGTCCCAAGATTGTGGAATATGTCCGGTAAAAAAACACTACATCAAAGGGTAAATCTGCAAAAACATCATTGAAATATAAATACTGAATATTTATATTCAGAATACTATTCAGTGCCTCTTTCTCATTGGTTTCTAACCAGCCAACTTTTCTTCACTCACAAGATAGGATAAATCATTTAATATTATTATACAAATTCACATATTTTTGTATTACTACTTTCTATGATGTCATGTAGCAATCTGTAGCATCAACAAACAAGTATTTGGTTCATTGTTCTTGGAATTGCTTTTATTATTCCTGCTCATGTCTCTATTGTCTTCACAGAAAAAAAAAGGTGATGGATGTTATAATTTGTACACATGACAGTAAAATAGTGTATTCATATGAATTTGTTAGCTGTGAATATCATTGCAAAAAAGGAACTTTGTTAAACGCACTTAATGCAATTTTGTCCCGCCTGAAGGTCTGCATTTCAGAGCTTGGGAATGCTCATTTAACGTGCTCACTTGTGTGTGGATTGCTGTATTAATGGGCGTTCCAGTACATTTGGTCTGACGCCAATGGGCCCAATTGCTTAGCATGCCTGCAGGACATTAATTGATGGCTGGGTTACGCTTACTAATAAGTGTCATAAATAACGGTTTAGCAGGACGAGGGCGAAAATCTCAAATACATTAAACACTGCGTTGACATCTTAATGGCGATTCAACAGAGATGTGATCAAGCGGAATTCGTCAAGTAGGAATCCATTATTGCAAGGTTGTAGGCAGCAAAATCAGTGATAGAAGACTGGAGCTTTACCACCGTGGTCGTGTGTCATTCAGGTCTTAATGGACAGCCTTGTCAACACGCACACTCGTGGCCCTCCACCAACACAGCTGTTGAAGATCTGTCAAACCTCTGTGTCTGGGTACCACACGCCTCCTCCTAAAGTCACTTAGGGGAGCTAGTAAAAACCACGAGCCATTCACTCGCAGCATCATTGATTTTATCCCCAAATTATTGTTGAGGACGAACCCTCCCTTGCATACCAATGACACTCTCCCCGCAGCACAAGGGTCATTCCAGCCTTGCATTGCCGTGGGGAGGGGACTTGTTGTAGCGCAAATGGCTATGTAGTATGTCAAAATATGCACACAGCCAAACAAGTATAACCTCTAAATGCAGTTTTGCCAGTCACCTCATTTGTGGGTTTGAAGCCAGAAAGCTCATCAGTGGAATTGCAGGTTTAGCCAACAGAGGATTTTTTTCCGTGTAACCAAGCCTCAGTGAATGGACTGAAAACCCCTGAGCTCCCACAATATAATGTAAGTGGTGCTAGCATTAGTTTCATGCTGGGATTAACTGATTTAGAGGTGTGAATGGAAGCGCATAAAGCATAAGAGTAGCAGCGCAGAGGAGCTACAATATGAATGTATAGGCTTTGTAGAGCTATTCGAGAGTACTTGTTTATGTGAGGATTCAAAATGTTTTTGTTTTTTTCCTCTTGCAAGCAAAATGCCTGCAGTTTTTATGCTTGATGTAGAGTGTAGAATGTGTCCGTAAAATACATCATATTATCATTATTTCATTATTATATTGTATGATTATTTGAACTCATTACAAAACAAATATATTTTGCAAATCAAATTCAAAAACATAAAAACAACAATTCACATGGGCATATATTTATACATAATAGCAATGCTTAGGGTATAGTTATGATGCACTTTATTGTCCCATTAGGGAAATTTGACCTCTGCATTTGACCCATCCTTCAATCCCACTCATGTAACACGGCCCACAAACCCATGTCCAGTTTTTGATCCTCAGTGATGTGACAAAATTAACATTTAAATTTTATAGCAACAAATAATCTTCCACCTCTTTCCAAACTGCACCTTTTTGACTTGAAGTGGATCTTTTGACCTTTTAAGCTTCAGGGCACTTAACCTTACATTTTCTATTAGAAATATTTAACATATTGATGCATGCAGCCTTCACAGCGCCTTGCTCTCTTTTCTTAGCTGTAGCGGTCGATCATTAGTCTACATTTAGGCTGACAGGCTTTGTTAAGGGGTTTTCTCAAGTTTATCAAACACGTTCTAAGTTTCTATTGTGAAAGTGCCAGTGGATGGGGGTTGGACAGTGACAGCCACTTGTGCAGACTTGTTCTCAAAGTGCTATTGTTTATTATGGACTGTATGGTGACAGTTCTGTCTGTGGCAAGTGGGTAATTAGCATGCATTATTCAAATGAAAGTCGGAGCAGATGAGGGTGGGGACCTGTCCACCTGGTTGTCAAAGTCTTCTCGTTCAGCATCACTTGCTCCTCACAGCCGCAGTGTCTGAGCCCGTCTCCTGCTAATGTATTTCCAAGCAGCTGAGCTATGTATTGCACTCTTTTATACTTCAGGATTAAATTTAGTTTCTGTGGTTAATAATCCAAAATATAATCTTTAATGAGTATTAGAATGGCTCAACATTGGAATCATTTTGTGTCCTCAATAAGCTGGGTTTAAATCATTTTGTTGTACATTATCTTGATGTGTAAAAAAGAAAAGTGCACTACAATTGTCATTATTATCGTGACGTTTTCAAGCCATTTAAAGAAAAAATAACTATCACGATTGTCTGATAAAACAGCATAATACAAGACAAACGTTGAACTGCACTATAATATATTATTATTTAGTACAATTTTTAGTTTATAATGCTTAATTTAGGGGCAGTTTTATGAACACAAGAGGTTTGTCATCTGCGACCTATTGGTGCATCCCATTGTACAGCCGTAATGCCATACTAAATACATATCAACCCAAACATGGTTAGTGCATTTTGATATAACAATCAAAGGTATACTTTATCAAAATAATAGTGTCAACATCACAACACTGAATCAGGTTCACATTATATCTGGGAACTATTATTGTACTTTTTTGTGAAATACATACATGGAACAGTGGATGAGCAGAATCAAGCAACAGAAAGGAGAAACTGTAAAAAAAAAAAAGGACAAGATAGCTCTTTAAATTTAGGCTCATTATAAATATTATATTGCAAACAATGAAAAGTTGATTGTTATGATGTCCAATATTATTCCTGTATTGTATTGTGTGTACTTATTCTACATCTCTATTTGCCATGTCATCTTCTGTTCATAAACTAGAAATTGACTGACATGAAACACACCATCTACAGGTTAACCCACCCACCCAACAAACAATTGAAAACAAACATGAATAATATATATGTTTTCATAAATAATGTTTGGATTAAGAGATTGTTGCCATCTGCTAAAACTAAAGGATTCTAGCAGCAGATCTAATCCAGCTCTGCTACACTTGGAATCACACAATTATCAAAACTCCAATTGATTATTGGATTATTAAAATCATAATTATATATTTACGTTGATATAATTTCTGCCTGATCACTCTGCCCTTCATATTAAGCCAACATCTTTGTTTAGGTTTAATTAGGTCCGCATCACCACTACAGTATTTACCTACTCACTCCAACACTGTCCCTAGAGAGAAGAATGTCAATCAAGAAGCTTTTCTGCTCTGACATTGCAGCAGATCTTACTTAGGCCTAACAGCTCTTCTTCTTTGTTTGAAAGCACACAAAAACACAATGCAATTCTAAAATCATAGAAGCAGAAACTAAAAACCACAACATCAATCAAGAGTAAACTCACTGGCAGCAAAGTCAGCCATCATCTGTATTCTAGCACTGTTCAGCCATGTGTGGTTAGCCAGAGGTCTGTTTGACTGTGCGTGAAATCAGACTAGCTTAACTCCCTTAGCTCATAATGGATTTGCACTTTTTAAACACAACTGTCTTTGGATTTTGCTGGACCACCGAGTCACCGACTAATCCTGCTTTGTTCCATGGTGGGACTGCAGGCAGGAGCTGATCAGTCCACACACACTGTGGCCAATGGAATCATGGATCTATCAGAATACTACTACTGCCATCATGTGGAAACTCTTCTCATCTGCAGCTTCATAAGAAAGGGTGAAACTGCTTTGGACTCTGCTTGAGGAATGATGGATGAATGAAAAATGATCATCAAGTTCAATCATGACCGTATCCCTGTGATTTTGAAAAGCCTCACTATGTGAACTAAGCAGACTTGTATTGCTACAAATTCAAAATTGTGACAGCTTCACTAGTTTATTTTCTTCTGATTGCAGTCTGATTCCAACCTCTAATGTGGAGTTTGTATGTCTCTCTCTTGAGATGAGTTCCTAAGCGCTGTATGTGTAACAAGTTAGATCAATAATGTGTCCCAAAATTCATCACCAAAACGCTTATAATCTTTGGAATCACAACACCATTCTATTAAATGCCTTCTGAATCCATTCTAAATAACTGATCTAGACAACACAATATATTCTTGCATAATCTAACATACACATTTATGTTGCCATATGGCCAATTCATACATATCTTCGAACAGCCAGACTTTTAAATACAAAATTTCCACTAAAACGTAATTGACTAACTCTGTACCATTATCTGTATATTTTGTTTTCGCTATTGTTCTCTCAAACTGTGTTACTTGAAAGATCCACAAGATGGCAGTAAGTCCTTGAAACATTCACAGAATTTTCTCAGCAGAATTTCCTTGCAAGGGGTTCTGAGATCTGTGTGCGTTTGCCAGATTGAGCAAAAACTATAGGAAAGACTGATATCACATTTTGTGAGTAGATCATGTATCATGTCAAGTAGATGTGATGGTGGAAAGATAGCTAAACATTTTTGGAGATCTGTGGCTTTGACAGGGTATGTGCTCTCCGAGTGCACCTTCTCGTTTGTATTACTTCACTTTCTCCTCAAGGGTAAAAATAAACACATTTGTTGCAGGGATTTCAGCCCTAACGTCTCTTACTTATTGACCAAGTACAATAAAAGAGACGAGGAATCATTCTATTTGAGTTGAAAAATGGTTTGTTTGTCACTCAGACATAGTCTCAAATTAAGAAATTTGGGCCAGACCTGGAAAAATAGGGATTACATACCGTATGGCAGGGCCTGAAACATTACACCAGAGATGGTAATTTTTCGAAACATCAGTATCGGTCAGGAGTCAAGACTGAGATTAAGATTAAGATTAAGAGATCCTTTATTTGTCCCACAGTCGGAAAATTTCAGATAGATAGGGCCGATGTGAACAAGCCGGCAATTATTTCAGTGTATTTGATGTGTATGTAGGCTTAGATGAGAGTGTAGCGGCGGGGGTGTTTGTTTTTGCACAAGCGCATAAATGTAAACATCACATGAAGCGGTTGCTGAAGGCAGCAAAAAATATGTGTGTTTTATATATACATACAGTACTACCATATCCGTACCAGTAAATATCGGCAAAATTAACATCAGTTATCATTTTGGCCACAATTTTCACATACAGTAGGTCATCACTACACAAAACACATGTGACCGCTGGTAAGTAAGTCATCTTTTAGTGGTTTTCACAGACGCTGTTATGAATATTCATATCCAGACACAATAGCAGTCAGATGATGGTGTAACTATAGTGCTACAACCCCCTCCAATCAATAATACACTCACCAGCAGGAGCACTTTACAGGGTGATAATCCCTGCAGTCTCCCATCCAAATACTAACCAGGCCCTGCAACACTTAGCATCAGATATGCAACAAGATCAGGCTTTAGAAAGCAGGTAGGGCCACAAATATCAATATTCCATTTGCTATTTTGGATTAATAGGCCCGCGTTGGTAGGGAATTAATTGAGGCTCATTGAAAAAGGAGTCAATAGGCTAATTCCTGCATATTCACATTAATGTATCCTCTTGATCATAACCACAAAGTGTTTAGTACATTTAATGACATCGCGTTGTGCTCTCTCTACTGTCTACAGTGATGTGTTGGTACTCACAGCCAAATATGTTTTCAAACCCCAGTACTGTCCTGCATGGCTCACTACTCCCAGCTGCACACTGCATGCTAAACTAATGGTAGGGAACCTCTGTCAGACCCGGGCCCTCATCACGAGCACCCAGCCATCGGGGTTCAACCTCATGTGTGACTATTAGCACACAGAGGCTGGGTGCAGATATCCACATGGGGGTTTACCGTAGGGGGAGCCGGTCACTGTTGTGGAGCACGCTTATACAGGCTGCACTTCCCAAGGACATTAGTGGTGCAGTCCACAGGCTCTCGGGTGGCAGCCTATCATTAGTGTGCCGCTAGAGCCCAGAGAGGTGATAGTGGAAGGGGAATTGCGGGCTTTCATGTATCCACAAGCCGGTCCACGATATGCCAAGCCGAGTGTGGTAATTTAGCTCAGAGGTGACGGAAAATGGTAGGTTAGTTTAATGGCGAGTTTGTGTGGCCATGTAAAAGCCTTCATCAGAGAGTGGGCGATGAAGTGAACGGAAGAGAGGAACCAGAGACCAGTGGGGTTGGAGAGTGTGTCAGATGGTGACAGAAGTGGGGGTTTGAGCCACACACAAAAAAAAAACATTTTTTTATTTAAACAGAAGACGACCAGATTCACACATTACTCCAATTGTCAACTTCTGATGCAAGTACAATAACCATGTTATTACATCTTACCATAATACTAAATACTAATGTCCCAAATGGTTCACATTCATACTGCATCTGGATTTGTGGATGAAATGATGTCTTTGAGCACTATAGTGTCTTTAAATGAATAACTTTCTACTTGTGTTACCTGCCTTGGTACAGGAAATGGAAATGAGCTTTGTATATCTACACTGTTCCTACAAATGTTTATGAATGTGACTGTCCCTATCAACCGCATCAATAAAATACAAATGTCTGATTGCAAAGCTTCAGAAGCAAAAAACTTGTAAGGCCAGTACAAACTCTCAAAGTATGTTAATACATGCATTTGAAAGAACAGTATTACTTTTTAGTAACACATACATTTACCATTAACCAAGTAATCTATCTATAATAACTTATATCTATTACAATACTGTGACCATTTATCTATAAATGCAAGTAACACATGCTTTAATTCAATTATTCCATAATTGAGCTGCATGAAAACTGTCTTCTAGTAAAAAGGAATTTACTATGATCTCGTAAAATATTTCATGTATTGAATTAGAAAATAATTGCAACACCTTCTGGAGAACATTTAATTGAATAATCCACAAGGCCTTGAAATTCCATAATCTTTGATTTGAGAGATAAAAAATCTGTATGATTAAAGTATCCAACATTGTTTACCTAAGTAAACAGTTGTACAGCGCGTTTCTGCAATAAACCAATATCATTCATTTTAAGCCTTGAAAGTAGCGCCCACACAGTAAGTCATGTATGGAAGTTTCAAAGTACAGTGGATAATAAGATGCTGCAAACAAGTGAATCTTTAGCTTTAAAGTTTTTCAATTGTTTTCCCTCTATATGTTCTCTATATACATGAATCTGGAGACAATTATAATGCGTGAAGAGCAGGAGGTAAACAATGTAGATAATAATGACTACTTCCAAATAAAAAATTAAACTGCAGAAGAATCCGTGTCCCATCAGAAAAGTAATACGTGCACCACAGTTTGAGAAACATTTCCTCATTTTTATGAATACATCCGCTGGTATCAGTGGAGTATCAAAACGCACCTGCATCTCTGTCATGCTTAAATAAACACTTATTTTTTCTGCTTGAACAACATGGGTCCTTCTTATGGCTAAGTTATTCACATTTGTGTTCATTTCGTACATTTGTATTTGTAGGACAGGAGCCAATACAACTCTAAGTGAAAATGTTCCCAGATCATTATTTAGAATCACCAAACGGCCCAATTGTATTACTGTTATTACTATTATTGAGGTTTTTTATGTTGTTTATACTGCAAACATTACTTGACATCTTCATATGAATATAAAACACATAGACCAGAGATGGTTTGTGATGACAAAAAAGATGTGAAAATTGCCAATTTATTTTTAATGTTGATTGAAGAATTATGTTTCAACTTCAACCCTCCAGCACATTTTTAAACATAGGCCATTGGAATGTTGTGATGTCACATGCAAATAACATCATTATTTTGTTGATATATAGTGTCACAATGTAATGTGCTCATTTGTTCCTGAACATTCTGTTTTTAATTTCACATTTCTACTAGAAGAGAAAAAAATCTATTCACCATCTCTGTCTCCCTTGGCAACAGGTTATAATCCATAGTTACGATGAGCGGTTGCTAGGTGCGTTGCCGAGATACTAGGGCCTGGATGATGGTGTGAAGATGACGAGGGACAGGTGAAAACACGGCAAGAGTCAGGACAACAAGGTGTCGCACTCTCAAAACTGAAGCACAGAAGCACAAGGAGCACAAGGAGCAGGAGGAGCACGAGGAGCAGGAGGAGCATGAGGAGCACGAGGAGCACGAGGAGCACGAGGAGCAGGAGGAGCAGGAGGAGCACGAGGAGCAGGAGGAGCACGAGGAGCAGGAGGAGCACGAGGAGCAGGAGGAGCAGGAGGAGCACGAGGAGCAGGAGGAGCACAAGGAGCAGGAGGAGCATGAGGAGCAGGAGGAGCAGGAGGAGCAGGAGGAGCACGAGGAGCAGGAGGAGCACGAGGAGCAGGAGGAGCAGGAGGAGCACGAGGAGCAGGAGGAGCATGAGGAGCAGGAGGAGCAGGAGGAGCAGGAGGATTTTGAGGAGCACGAGGAGCAGGAGGAGCACGAGGAGCACGAGGAGCACGAGGAGCCAGGACGGAGACACAAGCAACAGTGTAACAAGAACAGATGCTTCACTGGACTGTGCAGAGGCTTCTGAGGGAGGAGCCCACTCCACTGGACCAACGCTGGGCTTTAACTGTGTACTATTATGTGCAAGTCAAATTCTATTTTGTGGTCTGAACAAATCAGATCACAACATGCTGTGTTGATCTTAATGAAAAACATTTTATTTTGTATAGTTATGAGAAACAGCTCCAAGCGTCGCCAATTGACACTTTGGGCTGAAAGCTGATTGGCTGAGTGAGGGTGGTACTCTCTTTTTCAAGAAAAATTATAGAATAAAACAATAAGGGACAAGCCTTTTATGTTTTTCATTGTATAGTTATTTTTTTGGTGGTTTGAAAGCCATATTCCAGTTACTCATTCAGAGTTTTAAAAGATTACAGTAATTGTATATTCAGTTGCTTTGATGTACCTATTTGTTAACAATGATTTGTTATTTCAATTTATTTGAGGAGGAAAAACATACACACAACCAGATAATACGGTGTATTCCCAGTTCTTATTAATACAGTGCAGTTTGCATAATTGAAATACAAAAATAAAATGTGAATATAGATACAACATTTTTTCTGAATAAATATGTATACTGCTGAAGCTCTAGCAGTGCTCATGTTGTATTTCTAGTGTATCCTTTGATCAAGACATTTGGGATTTTTCATACTGAGTTGCTTGCATGAAAGAGGTTTGGTTTGGGATGAAACCTGCAGGCACGTAGAGGCCATCCTTGTACAGTTTGACCCATAGGTGGCAGTAGCACCGTGCCTCACCACTTAGGACACTTAACCGTGCTCTTTCATGAGATCAAAGGCAGTTCCATGCCAGCAGCAACAGCACCCAACAACGCCTCTGTCAAACTCGGGACTAGTTTCTGACATTCGAAAAAAGATATTAATGACACCACAGAGTACAAATCCATATTCAAAAACAAGGCTTTTTTTCTAGTTCACTTCCTTGATATTATAAGCATATTGTTGATATATCATAAAAAAACAACACTGTAAACCAAATAACACTCGAATGACCTGACATCATCTCCTTCAAACTGGAACTTTTCTTTGAGGGCAGGACCCTGTTGGTTGATTGGAATGACTCCAGTAATTGGATTCCATTCCTAATTGAAACGTAATAAAAATGCATCAGTAGACGTGTAACCAACAATTACCTCATGCAAATCTCTTGATGAATTGATCTGAGGGCTATAATTGCTGCTGTAAAAAAAGAGAAAAATGCATTGATTTCTCCCGAATAAGCATCAATTGAAATCACCCCACACTGGGCTTAATCTGCTTCGCGTGGAAGCGTTTGTCATCGGGCTTGGCTCGTGTTCGGAGGTGTGCAAAGAAATGAAAACATCTGTATGCTTTCATATGGAATTGCCAGACAGATTGGGCATTTGAGAGTTTGTTTCACGTCGTACATTTGGGTGTGTGAAGGAAGGAAACTAAAGTGGAAATGTCGTTGGCTTTGTTTCCCTCTTCATCATGATGTTTGGCAGGTTATGACTACACAATCTGCTCAGGCTGTGGCTCCGGCAGAGGCGAACACACTGTTGCCTGTTTGGATGAGAAAAATCAAATGGATCTATCCAGCATTATGACTGCTTGTATTCCTTCTAGTCAACATTGTGGAAATCAGCCCTTTGTCTTCTGATGAGGACAGTGCAGAAGGAAAGGGTTAAAGCATCTTCTGAGTTATTGCCTACCGCTGTAGTCATAGCAACAGGTTAATAAGTATTTCTCTGATCTCTCTCTGTTGCTGCACAGGTTGCTAAGATACAAATACCATCCCGGACCCTGTGGACTGAACTAAAACATCTTTTGATTATGAGCGTTAAACATTTTAACCTCAACATATGAAGACGTGACAAACAACTATATTTTCTGAATAAAATTAAGTAAAACAGTGAAGTGTTGCACCAATAGTAACAGAGAGAGTAAGTTCCAGCGTGGTCCTAAGCAGGCCAAACTGAAGCACAGGAAAACAAGTGACTTATTATGAACGACTACCTCACACCTCCGAGCCGAGTGGTTGGCTCATGTCTAAAGGTAAACGGGCCAATCGGCTTTGGAACATAGTGGCTGTTCCTAGACGTGTGTGAGAAACCAAGGGCAAATTAAGCATTGCCTCTGAGTTGCATCATTCTCTCTCACAGCTCTATTAGTAGGCTAGCCACAATGTCTCTTTACGAGAGCCGCTCTCTGAGCAGAATTAGGCACACTTCCCTGCAGTGATATTTCTTTTTATGAAGCACGCTGACATCCTGTGTGCCAGTTCTTACACAAGAAAAGACATTCTGTGTTAAAAATGGCAAGTATGGATACCTCTGCTCCACATGAGGTGACTTACGAGCCTGTGGAGTAGTGATTACATGTAGATTGTCTATTCCAATTGGATTAGCTTCTATTAATCTGATTATATCAATGAGAATGCTGTATACGTACATAAAATCATTCTGTACATGCTTCTCTCTCTACAAACCCAGCTTAGACCCATTGATTCAGAACGATAGACTTGTGTTTAGACTGACACAATAAGTGAATAAACAGACACACTGGTTCATTGGTGGAAGCTGTGATGCCACAGTAGGGAGTGCACAAGTCGTTTTTGAAGATAATGCTCCATCCCTCAGTTCTCTTTTGTCACTGAGCCACATTCTTTCCCCTGGTTCAGTCGTCTGTCTGCAGCGGCTATTTACAATACAGTGCTGCATGTGTGTGCCATTCCTCCAAAATTAGCCTTTACCCATGTGTGCTAATCCGGCAGCCATAATTGTGTATTTGTGTGATTAAGACTGTAATAGCAAAATAATGACACTTCATTTTGATTTATGAGATCGGGTGACAGTTTGTGTCTGGAAGGTGCCAGGTAAAATGACACTGGCCCATCAGCGCTAAAGTGATCTTTAGCTAATCCATTCAAATGTGTCGCGGGACATGTGTGCCACAGAGTCTGAAGGTCATGAAAACCTTTATCTGACGTGTCACTGAAGCATGAATAACAAAGAGATTCAAAAATGAAGGAAGACACAGGGCTAATCCACTTTCTTTATTAAAGTGACATAGTGAAGATTTGAGAGATTTTGACAGTATGATGAGGCTCTATCACTACATTACTGATTTTCAATTCTCAGAAAGTTGAATAGGATCCACAAATTCCAAAGAGTGTTCTATTAAGCACAACAGTCCTTTTCTCTGTATGTACAGATGAGGCTGCCCACTCTCCTATACTGATTAAAGGCTCTTGGCTCCCACGGGGGCCCGGCTGCTTTGGGTTCATTCAATGGCTGCCTTGATTACTTGATTGGACTCATTGATTGAAGGAGAACTTTAATGACCTATTATCTCTAGTGTTAATCAGGTGTTGACAGACAGCTAAGGCAACGGGCAGGGCTGAAGGCCAAACTGGACAGAACCCACCAGGCTCCTGCTGCTTCTACTAAGTCAAAGTCTGACACACGGCCCAGAAAGTCTCCACAACATGCGCAGACTGTCAGCCACGTAACGTCTTATGTTTTGGCGCTGTGCATCTGTCATCTATGACTCAAATGTTTTTAACTCTAACTTTATGATTTACCATCCACCCAATTATATTAAGAGCTGTACAGCTTTGCTCTAGCTTTTGAGTTTCTCCAAGGATCTTTCCTTAGTTCAAAATGTACCAAACAGAAGTAATTTTGTTGAAAGTGTTGAAAGTGAACATTACACAGTGATTCACTGGTTTGTTTAATGTAGTTGTCACCGTGTTACACAACATCAAGAAGACTCAATATATGTTTTACGCTGTTCAGAAAACTGTAACAATAACTTAACAGTAGCAACAACTCTCCTAAAACTAAGGAACAGTACCGACAGTAATATCAAAGGAAAAGAGTATAGTAGATTATTGTTACTTTAATTACCGTATTTTCCGGATTGTAAGCCGGAGCTGACTATAAACCGCAAGCTCCAATTTTTAGAAATACATTTAATTTTGTACTTGTACAAGCCACACTGGATTAAAAGCCGCACCTATCCCACATTATAATATTGAAAAATGTTTCTCAAAATCGTTTATTGTGTCTTCTTACTACTGTGATCAATAAGAGTAAGAAGTGAGTCACTGACAGTTCTTAATCTTCCAGTGTCAAACCGAAAGATAAGGAGCAACATTTACCGGTCTCTTTTCACTTTGATGTTTATACAAGGAACCACCTTAAGCCTGGTTCACACGGCAGGATAATTGGGCCGATTTTGGACCCGATTTACCCCTACGACAATCGTAAGAACGCTCCGAATATCGTAACAAAAAATCTGATGGATTTTCCTGCCGTGTGTGGTGTGTTAAGACTGTGCTCGTCGCTCGGAAGGACTTCGGGACTGCTCCAATCTCAATATCGGGGATATCCAACATGTTGGATTGTTTTAGCCCGATTTCCCTTCGTGTGTGGTGTCCCCCGAGGACAGACGAGCGCGTTGCCATGACTGCGGCGTGTAGCCAATCAGAAGACGAGAAGAGGCGGCGAGGAAACACCGTAAAAAAAAAAAAAAACAGTCAGCGGCAATGGCGCACCAGAAAGTTCGGTGGACATCAGAGATGGAGGCACTAGTTGACCTCTGGCAACACCGTGAATGTATGTATGACGTGTCGTGTAAAGCATATCATCACCGAAATGACAAGGAGAGGAATTGGGCAGAAATTGCTGCTGCACAGGTAGTGTTGGCATAAGCCCTATTCGGACGGGATTAGTACACTAATGCCGTTTTTCCACAGTGTCAGTTCAGTTCATTTCGGTACGGTACGGCGCACCTAATTTGCTTTTCCACTAGTGGATGGAATGGGAGATTTGAGTACTTTTCCGTACTGCCTCAGCCGTGGTTCCATCCCCATGTTACCCGTGCCATGACGTCACGGAGTGTCGTCACTGGAAGCGGCATCTGACCCTTTGGGAAAAACAACTCAACCGCCATCTTTAAAACCGGCTGCTCTGCTCGGCTCTGCTTCGGCTACATTACGTCCTCCTCACTCCAGAGAAATGGAATTGGTCGTTGGACGAGG